ATATATATATATATATATATTTCTATTTCTATTAAGTATGTCAATACTTTACAGGTACGCATTACAGGTTGTTAGTGGGGAAAGAAATACATATTTATTACAATAGCTGTTTTCTGGGGTTTTTTTTAACTTACATGACCTAGATGTGGATTTTTCAAATACTCTATTGGTTAACTCTAAATATCACTTGATTAATTTTATTGCTTTATATTGCTACTTAAGGAACTAATTTGGCATTTAAAAAGAATGATAAAAAAATACAGATGTTATTATATGAAAAGGACAAAAAGGTCCTACCTGTTTCAACCTCATGAAGAAAGTCTCCGTGAAAGTCTTTCTGCTGAAATACCAAAATCGCTCATTTGCAGGATACACACGTACTACTGTCTCCAGGAGAAAGCGGACAGGCTCCACCACCTCTGTGACAACCATATCCACTGCCACGGTCATGTACACTCGTTTATCTGTAGCAGAAATGGTCTGTGTTTTATGCTGGCTTTATTATTCCTTGATTATTTAAGAAAACAAAGTTTCCTCACTTATGAAAGCACTAAAGTTCTTTCTAATCATGTTACCTTCTGTGTTTAATTTTAAATGTTTTATTGTCACTTCGATTAAATAGGTAACCAAGTCCAGGTACGTTTCTCAACACACAGGGTCCTATCTTAATCAAGTGTTAAAATCCTATGGTATTTATCTTTCTCTGTCTGGCTTATTTCACTTAGCATAATATCCTCTAGGCTGGCTTTTAGAGAACAACAGTATAGTGTTATCAGTCAAAATTTCTGTTATTATTGAAAATGTTTACTTGCCCACAGCCTTCCTTTAATTTGAATCTAGAATCTTCCAGGCTAGCATCTACTGGCTTTCTTCAGCTTCACAATGATAGGTTGAAACATGGATTTCATTTTATTTTATTTACCATGCTTCAGTTTCATTGGGGTTTTTGAATCTGTGGCTTGGTTATTCCATATCATTTTGTCATTTCTTCTTTAATTTTTTTTTTTAATTTATTGTGCCAACCACTTTTAGTTCTCAATTAGAGGAAAGATTAAATAACCAAGCCCACCATTAGAAGAAAACTTCAATAGTTTTTTTAAAACATTATACAACATTTATACTCATCGACTACCCTTCTGTTAATATCATCAATTTCAACCAAAATTATATTAAATTCCTATTAAATGTAAACATTCTATCTAGTTTCAAGAGAAACTAAGATTCTCTAGACATTGTATTTGACCTAGAAGACCTTAAAGTTTATGGGAGTAACGCAGAGGGGTAAGAGAGAATAACACAAAACCACAGACTATGATACACAACTTGGTATAGTGAAAAGATCTAAGGCAATTCCTCTCTCAGGGCCTCAATTTCTTCTGTAAAAATCAAACCGCAATTCATGAATCTTCTGAATAATTTATAATATCAAGGACACCATTTGGAAATTTTAGAAATCAGATCAATATTTTTGTGTAGCATATGAAATTATTTAAATTTAAAATACATTATCTTTTGGATCAGAAGATTATTACAATACAACATTAAATAAAGTTTATTTTAATAGAACAAATAAATTTTAAAATATATTATCTTTTGAGGATCAAATGTATATTAAAATACAAAATAACACTGAACAATGTGTTACATTAAAAACAGGTAAAAACTGCTTTGACTACTTATTTTTTGAAATTCCAATATTTTATTCTTCAAAATTATCAACTGGCTTATTTTTCTTATTTTTGTGTTTTCTTTCTGAATGATTATAAGAAAGAAGTTTACAGGCTGGTATTTACAAATCTGTCTCCAGAAATAAAAAACTGTGGTGTAAAAATTATTTATTCCTAATATACGAAAAGTTAAATTTTACACAATCATTATTTTTCTCCCTTTTAGCACTAATTTGAAGCAGAGAGTTTGATATGTGATTACAGGACTGGTAAAGACTCTAAGGAAATTTGAGAATAATTATCATTTTAATGTTCTTCATTAATATATTTCCATATCAGCATTCACTAATGCTCCTGTCTTGAACCAAAACTCTACTGTGGGTATAAATAAAATAATGTAAGACTAAGATCAAAAAAACTGATCCATTATTTTCTCAATGTAAATTATTGGTTGAGTGACAGGAAAGCATTTAGTGTAAGATTATAACTCATGCGGTAAAACTTTAATGTTAGTTTGAAGGCAGATGGAGGAGGGGCAAAAAAATAGGCAATTAACAGATATCTGAATAAAGTAGGAATAAAAATAGACAGTGGTAAAAATGACAAATGTGACTATATACCACTTACAAATTCTGTTCAACAGTAGCCATGTTAAACAAAACAAAAAGGTAAACAACTAGGAAAAAAGAGTCACATATGAAATCTTTAATATACATTACTAAGATCTAAGATCCCAAAGGACAAAAGACTAGAACAAAAAATTAATAAATCACAAAATATAAGTAATCTATAAAATAATTTTTGAAAATTAAAATATTTATCAAAGATATGCAAAATTTCAGAATTTGCTTTCATCATTTCTTTTATATTCTTCATCATTTCCCCCCAAATAAAACAACTCTATAATGACATGAAAAACCAAGCACAAATACATTCTACATAATCTAATAAAATTAATTCATGTATTTTTTGGGGGGGGATTCTTTTGAATAGTGAAGGTTTTTCTCCATAGATGCATAAAGTACAAAAAGGAACTTCTAAATAAGAATAACTCCATTTTAAACGAGCACCAGACTTTTTTTAAATAACATAGCAAAACATTTCCCATAATGTAAAATTTTAAGCTAATAATAAGAAATCTTTTAAGAAAATTCACCTTTTGGGGTTTCTTCATTAAGTGCCTGAAATATTGGTGCATTGGGGTTCCACATGCCAGTGATAACGTAAGCTCTCCCATCATAGCTCTTCCCCATGGACTCCTGTAAAAGTTCAAACAGGAATCACTAAGAACATATACATCAAGAAAATCACCATTTCAAATTATAAATGTATCTTACTTTAAGCAACACAACCTAGTAAAATTTGGATTTACAATTAAAAAAGGGATTTATTTTCTTTATAAATTTTTTTTCACCCTACAAAAGCATTTATTTAAATATTAAATTCTCCTACAGCTTTCTTCAAACAGAGTTTCTGTTTAGAGACACAACCTCTTGGGTAAAAGAGGTATACTCTTACATGCTGAATCACACAAACATAATATTGCTATGAAGTTATATTTAACTTTATCTTAGGCTGGGTGTCAAAATCTCATATACTTACACATACAAGGATGGACATAGTTTCTATGAAAACTATAGTTCCGATCTCACTGAAGACAGTTAAATTGAATTAATAGCTAATCACAGGAAAAGAAGATAGTATTTTTCTTCTGATGTTCTATTTTTTTAATATGTTCTTAAAATATTAATTTACTTTGTCACAATCCATACCTTTAAAGTTAATTCTTTTTTACCATATGTATGTCAGATATGTGTATACTTTCTTATAATCAGAAATCAATAGTAGAAGGCTAATAATGGTTTGTAATTAACACCAAAGCTTATTAACTATCTCTCTCTACCCTTATACTTACTCCTCCCTTATACCCTTCCTTCTCTCATTCTCCCCTTCTTTCCTTCCTCTTCATTTCTTACATTTTTAAAGAGTTTTACCAAACCAGCTCCTGACTCTCACTAAAGCAGCCAGCAATTCCTACAGCGAAAGCAAGGCCACACACAGTTGTGTATATGTGTATGCATGTGTGCTGGGGGTCAGGGAGGTTAGAGGTTGTCCCATGGGAAAACATCACACAGAATGCAAACATGTGCATATGCAAAAAAGAATAGTATCTATAGTACTTGCAATTTTCTGTACCAATTTTCTCATATTATGAATAGAGAGTGCTGAAAGGGGCAGACTAAAAGAAAAACTTTTTTTTCAAAATTACCCCACAACCAAATGCTTCCAAGTCCCTATAAAATTGTTTCAGTCATCTGGTAACTACTATATATATTTTTCTAGTGTATTGGTGGTATTTCACTAATCGGATTGCATAGCTTAAGTGCAAGGACCACATTCAATGAAATACACTCAAGGTCATGTTAAAGGAAACCCACTCAGCACTTCCAACATACTCATATATTCATATTCTCTCTCTCCACCTCTCTTCCTATTCCCCTCTCTCTCCCTCCCTCTCCTGCTTGTCCCTATCCTGTCTTTCTGCCTTCTAATTAGACCCCCCCTTCGAAACAAGAATGGGCATTAATCCTCTCCTTCCCCTCCCCCCCAAAAAAACCCAACCCATCTGTGGACAAGAGCTGCACTATACTTGAGTCTAAAAAGATGAGCTAGGCCAATCAAATTCTTTCTTTCAATTACCAAATACCAAGGAAACTAGGCAGTTAAAAGTAGAGCTGAAATGTTTAAGTAAGAAGTAGGTGATGACAGGCCACATATAAAATGAAGTCAGATATGTGAAGATAACACAAACTGTATGGGAGCGGGAAAAATACAAAGAGTATTTGGAAACTGCTAAATGCTAAGAAAGAAATGGAGAAAACAATTTAAAAATCCTTTAAAATAATTAATCATGCAATTGAAAAAAAGAAGGCAAATGCTGGGAGGCAGGGAAGGAGGGAAAAGCAGAGACAGTGAGGAACAGAGAGAGAAGGGCAGAGAAGAGGCCGGGAGGGAGACAGAAGGGCAAGAAGTGAAAAGAGGAGAAGGAGAGCCGGGGAGAGAGAAGGCAGGAAAGAGGCAGAGGGAAACTTTTCAAAGTTTGTAGGAATAAAGGTTAAGAAGGTGAAATTTGTTTTCAAAAGCGTTCACATGTTTGGACATGCCACAGAAGCAGCAGAAGTATTAACATCTTGCTCTAGGCGGTGGAAATAAGACAAATTAGGCAAAGTGATAGGGAATGTGATACCAGGTGGTTACAGAGAAATAGCTTTGTAATAATCAGCCAGAACTGTCCCATGGTCTTCATTACAAAGTAACGAGTCCCTTATTATTAGATGTAGTCTAGCTGAAGCTCAATCACTATGTATGAAGATAGCATGAAGGTGAACAGCACTGAGTCGTAACAAACCACAACTGTTGATAATGGCAAATAGAAGCCCTCCCATGTGACCAGCTCTTTGCTGCACAGACCAGCCCACATCTCTTTCCAAGAGCCTCAGTGTCAACAAGCCTTTGATTTTCCTGTGAAAATCTTAACCGTGGAGAACTGCACTGCAAATGAGACACACACGAGACCAAGGGGCCTCTGGAGTTCATGCCAGGTCTGCAATTCTATAATCTGAACTTTGGTTTCATGGAAAAATCTCTGCCAGGGATTAATCTTAATCTTTTAAACTCTAAAAGATCATGATTCATTAGGACCTAGGACCTTTCTGAGTGTTTCATGTCCCTGAGCTACCTCCTTATGGATTTTTCAGGGCTCCAAAATGCTACGGCTTGCCTTAGGTAAAACCACTGGCATTACCGATATGTTGTAAAGAGGAATGGAGGGGAAATGGATCAATAGCTGATTTGTTTTCACACTCAATGTAACTGGTTGTCCTTAACCTTACCTATCCATGCAGTGCTTCCTCTGTATTCCTGTGGCTCACTGTATTAACTAACTCTATGAGAGCACTTAATCCGTTGCTGTCATTACATACTTGATAGGTTTGTTTCCATCACAAGACTATGAACCCACAGATAGAGCTATGTTTTACCTTAGCGACAACCCCATCACTTCATACAATGCTTGGCACACAATTAGGAACTCAAACAGGCTGAATGAACCATTCTAGTACCACCATAAAATCAATGTGATGCTAGCATGAAATAACTCAAAGAAAAAGTTGATGATATTTAACTGACATTTGCAAAACACAGCTGAAAGAAAGAAAACATGTAGTACTTATCATCACTCATATAAAAGTCTTAGTTAAGTGTGTAAAAAACTATACTTACATTATGATGACTATTTCCTATAACATTTTTAAATCGCAAAGTAAATGTTTTCATTAACTTCAATATCAGAAGGTATTTCTGTTCAAAAGTTAACATGGCTTGCTATTTTTACGTTAAATACCAACTCTTAAATATGTATTAACTTTTAAGGGCATTTCTGAAATAAATACCACTCCTACAGTAAATATACTTTGCTAAGGACAGGTAATCAAGGAGGAGAAATTCTGAAAGGGAAATGCTTTAAAGAAAACAAAAGCATCCATCGCTGTACTCAAATTAATAACAGTGCATTCAGATAAATAAAAGGCATCATATTCACTCTGGATATGTCTGTTATAATCATGTGCTTGTTATTTTTGGTTCAAAGGAAAGACGTCTTCCTAAGAAGCCAAACAGATGAATAAATGGATATTGCCATACACTATCCTTTTATTTGCTGTCAACTTGCATATGATTTTTTTGGTGGAAATTTTCCTAAATCTTTCTCTCATAAGTAATTTTATGTTTAGGTTTCCAAATTTAATTATTACTATTACACAGCTGAAAGTTAGAAACAATTTTGACAATATGGCAAAATTTTTAAATAGAAAATACTTTAAAAATATAAAATAACTATCATCTCTACATGGTTAAGGTGTTTAAGATCATCATTACCATATCCAGTAAATGCATGTCACTGTTCTTCACGTTTCGACCTGGGCTTAATAACATTCCAAAACATCTGAAAATATTGGGGGGGAAAAAAAGGAGAAATAAGGTATCAAGAATGTAGAGAAGCCCAGTGAGCAAAAGCCTTTTTATAATAGCTAAACAATTTGAGCTCTGTACTTACAAATAGCTTTAGTTTTTTTTTAGAGAAATACCACAAATAATCATTAAGATACATAATAAAATCACATAGAAATAAGTTATATAAATTCCAAGATCTTTGTTTTTGCATGTAAAAGATTACCAATGATCAGAAACTCTGATAAAAATGGCTACAAAATTATTGATTAAAACAGAATACAGTAGTGAAATATGAATTAGTTTCTAGGTGGAAATGAGATTTTATTGCCTTAGCGTTATTCCAAACATATAGGTCAAGATCAACTACCATATTCCCCCATGTATAAGACGCACCCTTTTTCGAAAAATTTGGAGTCTAAAAACTGGGTGCGTCTTATACAGTGGTTGTATATCTTTTTACTTGCATTTCCCACTGAGGACGAGGCAATATATGAAGACAGTGATTCGTCATCAGACACAGATGAGGACAAGCTAATGGTTGGGAGTTTTGACAGTGATGAGGAGTTGTATGAATTTTATGATGAATAAAACTTGAGTTCAATAACTTTTTGTCATACATTTTTTTTCAAATTTCGGGCCCCCAAATTAAGGTGTGTCTTATACATGGGAGCGACTTATACATGGGGAAATACAGTAATCCAGTTAAATTAAAAAAGGTGTTTTAAAATATATAAGGATAAGACACGGCTCTCTCTTTGCATCAAGCTACATCAATAGAAACAATTACCCTGGCCCTCAACAGTCATGTTCACTGAGTAGCCTATTAATACTACATCTTCAGTTTGGGGAAAAAAAAAAAAGTTACATAAAACACATTACTAAATGTGCTATTATATTAGTGAAAGTATTATCCAACATGCTATACACTATTAACCATTTATTTTATCCTGTGCTTCCTGATGATAGAGAAGCTTTAGGAATCCCACCAACACTACTAAAGGATTTATAAATAAATCCTTTATTTGTAAAGGATTTTCATAAGCTCCAAAATTCAGCTAAATCTAACATTTTTATAGTTGCTAGGATATTATTAATTCTGCTTTAAAAGAAAAGTAAAGTCTAGAGATGTTAAACAATTGACTCAAATTCATGGCTATTAATTAGGTCTTATAACTTGAGAGGTGATGTTATCTGTCCACAGCATCCCTCTGCCAACAATGCATACCAACATTTACTAGAGTGTTTTTTCTCTATTACCAGCGTGTTTTTATTGCAGCTTTCCAAAATTTAAAAATATGCTATGGGGCATTTTACACCAGGAGTAGACAATGTAAATCAATTAAACATAAGTTTTTTCAAATTTCAAAATAGTGGCAGCTGACCAGTCAGTATTTAATCTCATCCTTGCTGTTTTCCAAAGGTTTACTTTCCTAGTATCATTGGCTTTTTCTTCCATAAACAAAGTAATTGGTCCTATCCAAGTAAGAGCTCAGTAAGTGGTAGAACAATATCTGCTTCCTGTGAGTACTTTAGGACACTTTGCTTAGGCTCCCTTTTGGCATCCAAAACAAATCAAGTACATAGCAAAGATCAAGTTGATAAGCTCTGAGGATAACTTTCCAAACATATCATTGTATCACCAAACAAAATACAATTTACTACAACAGAGACAATTACACTCTAATAGTAATAATTTTAATACGATTACTATGTACTATTTGATCTCTCTATTAACTCCTAAAATAAACACTGTCTGTATAAATTAAATGGTCATTAATCATGCAATTCATTGTACTATTACTTCAACTAGTGCCTTAAATTCTTGATAAGCAAAGTACAAGAGTTAATTTTTTCCGATATAAAATTTGGTCCCCCAACTAAAAAGTTAGGTGAGGACAGATTTGTCACACATTCCCTACACAATAGTCCCCCCTTGTCTACGGGGAATTCTTTCCAAGACCCCAGTGGATGCCTGAATAGTGGATAGTACCAAACCCTATATAGACTACGTTTTTTCCTGTACATACATACACACCTTTTTTGCTTAAGGAAGCACTTTGTGGCTTCTCTTGGCATATCCGAATTGCCAGCATTGCTACTCTTGCACTTTGAGGCAATGAAGTAAAACAGGGGTCACTGAACACAAGCCCTGTGATACCTTGACAGTCAATAACTGGAACAACTACTAAGTGACTAACAGACGAGGAGTAGCCCACAGCCTGATTCCATCCCATTTCTCAGCAAAGCACGCAGCTGAAAACTTATAAACTGTTTATTTTCCATTTCATACTTTCAGACCATGGCTGACCACAGGTACCAGAAAACATAGGAGGTGAAACTGCGGATAAGAGGGAGCTACACAGTATACTTGCCTTCAGCTTTCATCAGTCATGGATTTTTTTTTTTTAAGATTTTATTGGGGAATTGGGGGAGGGGAACAGTGTTGGGGAATTAGGGAAGGGAAACAGCCAAGTTGTTGTCCTTCAATCTTAGTTGTGGAGGGCGCAGCAAGCTCAGCTCCAAGTTCAGTAGCGCCGCTCAGCTCAAGGTGCTGTGTTCAATTAGTTGCGGGTGGGCGTAGCCACCATCCCATGCGGGAATCAAACCAGTAGCCTCGTTATTAAGAGCACACCGTTCTATCCACTGAGCCATCAGGGTGGCGCTTAGCTCAAGGTGCCAAGTTCAGTCTTAGTTGCAGGCGGGCGTAGCCCACCATTTCGAACAGGCAACCTTGTTGTTAAGAGCACGTGCTCTCACCAGCTGAGCCATCCTGCCACCTGTTGGCAGCTCAGAGGCAGCTCAGCTCTGGCGCAGCTCACTGGCCTATGTGGGAATCGAACCAGCAACCCTGTTGCTCAGAGCTCGCACTCTTGAGCAAGCTCTTAACCAACTGAGCCACTCGGCTGGCCCAATCATGAATTTTTTAAGAACAATTTTCTATGTTATAGACTTTTTAAGTTATAAAACTATTATATACTCATTGTAAAAAGTTAATAAATATCAAAGTATATGGGGAAAATATTAATTCTTCCTTCTCTCTCTATTTCAGCCCCCTTAGAAACCAATACTTCAATTTAGTATGCACCTTCCCCACCTTTCTGCTTTTTTTTTGAAAATTTAAACTTTTGTATTATTTTGTTTGTCTAGCACTTGTAGGTAAATACTCAATAGGTATAATTCTATATTTTCTTAATATCATATTCCTATGTTCAATTCTACTGCAAAAGGAGCCCTGGAAGTAGGTTTTCCTTAAATGGCAATACATATTATCTTATTTTGATGATCTCTGATGCACTGATCTTTTTCTGGGTTATAAATAAAAATGCCTGCCACCAACTAGTGGTGTGACCTTAGAGGAAGCACCTAACCCCCTTGGGCCTCTGCTTGCTCTTTTAGAAAATGGGAAAGGTATAATACATAAACTCTAAGGGTTCTTCCAGCACTAAAACAGCACAGCATCTGTTCTATTGGCTTGTATTAGTCATTTCCAAAACTATACTTCATTGAAGCACATCAGGTTTCCTATGGGGACAAGCAAGGTCTATTCTGAATAATGTGTCAATAATTAGATAGATATTATTAATACCACACCCACCTAATGCAAATATTAAATGTCTCCCTGGAGAGTTCAAAGCAGTCAACCTTCTCTTATTAACTCTATAAATAATGTAGAAAGCAAATTGCTATCACACCTCTTTTCTCAAGGAGCTCACAGTCCAGTAGGGGAGGAAACTAAGGCAACAGGCGACCACAACCTGATACAGTAAGTTCTCTGATAGCTGAAGTGCAGAATGTTAGCAAAGCAGGCAGGAGACACGTCCAGCATTATTTATAATACAGTCACTAGTTGACCCATGTACCTGCCCCAAATTTGAAATCAAACCTCCTGAGAATGAGATGGTGATGCTATCATATTAATAACTATTATCAGATTTAATTATAGCAGCTACTATATTGAATGCCTTAACTTTAAGTCAGATATTACTATAATGGTCCCATTTATATTGCAACACAGCCTTCCTATAACATAATAATAAAACTGGCTTTCAGAAAGTACAAGTGATTTGTCCAAACCACACACTTATTAAGTGATAACACTGGGATTAAATTTATATTTATATATAAATATTTCAAAACAGCCTTCCTACAACATAATAATAAAACTGGTTTTCAGGAAGTACAAGCGATTTGTCCAAACCACACACCTATTAAGTGATAACACTGGGATGAAAACCCACGTGTGTGACTCCAAAACCACATGGTCTTCACATTACACTCTGGCCAGCTCCCTAGCCTATCGGCAGAAAGGATTATAAATTCCCTGTGTGATCCTGGGCAAGTCACACACTTCAAAGTGTCATCACATTTCTGAAATACAGCTATTACCTGTTTAGATATTCACTATACTAATGTAATGTTGAAATGGAAAAAAAAAAACCATGGCGGAAGACACGGTAAACTACAGAGCAGTTGCCAATTATAAATTATTATTACAATGACCACTATCATTGAAAACATTTGCATTCCATAATACCTAACTAGTTTTTACTCAAAACAGAACTTGAAACAGCTTTTAACACCAAGTTAGAGTCCATACCAACACCAAAAACTCGGCGTGTCTAGCATTGCTTCAGACTTAATTGATAGAAAAATAAGTAAGAAAAATAAAGATGAAATGTTCATGTGCTGCAATAGGAAACTAATTTTTTTTTTACTTTTGTCCATTAAATCATTAGGATTCTATATGCCTCCATGAAGACTATGAATAAAAATTAAAAACGAAGGAAACGAAAAGGAAAAGGAGGCAGACTCTGAACAACATCAGTTAAAGAACACTATCTCTTATTAAACTTCTGTTATTAAAACTAAAAAAGTGACAGTGTGACAGAAGGGGGTAAACAGTACTACAAAGAAGAAAAGCTATAACTCATAGTTTTTTAGAACAATATACAAAAACTCTAAAAATTAAATAACTTCGTAAAAATTGGAATC